CCGCTCGCGCGCACTCTTACTACATTTGTCCATTTAGTTGCACCGGGACCGCCGTCGCAAACATTATTGTGCACAGCAACACTTTCCGCTCGCGCGCTCGCTTTCAACGACTTCCTCCGATTTTTTACGTGAAACGTATCGGCGTACAGGCGGCGCGTTACGAGACCGCCGCTAATCGTAGATCGGTAATTGGCTCTCCCGCTTGCATGATTGATCCCACGCGGCTAGGTTCTTTCATCCTCTAAAAACCCACGGCTAGTCGGGTAAAGTGGATATTGCCTATTAATCGTCTCCCGCCATCAAATTGTACTCGGCGTAAAATCGAGCGATTGTGGATCGCGGCGGCAAGTAATTATTTCGCTGTTACGTAATATATCGAGAAGATTATTTCTTTCGTAAAATCGTGAGAATAATCGGATATTATATTCGAGAATTTCCCCCGGTTGCGCGCGATCCTTACGAGGCCCTGTCGGCAAACGACGTTTACAATTGTCCCCTCATCCCTCTCGGTGCTTTGATAATTAATTAATCGACTGCTCCTCTGCCTCTCCAGAGGGGGACCAGTTACAACGATCGTTGCCCGCGCAAAAACGTCGCGGAAACGATCGAAGCCGAAGATACGAGGGTGCGCGCGCGAGAAGCAGGACGTATGCTTATTGAGCAGCGCGGCGAACGCGGATTTGCGCGGCGCAACGATTCTTCCTTTCTCCGGACAGCTTCGCGCGGGGGCTCGCTTAGACGAGGCGTGGTGCGCCGTGGTCGATCGCTCCCAACTGGATCGGGCCACGGACCGAATGTGTCCGTGCCTCTCACTGTATGTGACTGGCGTGCCACAACGTTGATTACAGAGCCCTACCTCGCCGTCACGATTTTCCTCTAACCCGAACCAGATGGAGGAGTCATTAGCCGGTACACGCTTCCAATGGCCCCGGACAGTCGCGGGCGCGTACACCGCGCGGCCGACGATAATGATGACGTCTCGCAAGTCTTCTCGTCGACCTGGCCGGAGCTCTCCGGTAATCGCGGATCGGCCTGGACCGCCGAGCCGAGGACCTTTCCTATTTTCAGGGAGCGCTTGGAAACGAGCACGCAGCCGATTTCGTTTCTTCCTCCCCCTACCCCGATCGTCGTTCAGACAATCGAATCGGCTTATCCCGGTTCCGATGTTCGAGCGGGCGCCTGAAAGTCTAACACCCGGAAGAACCGACTCGCGAACTTTGGAAACCCCCTCGAGGGCGACCAAGTCCGCGGACGATAAGTCGGCGGAAAGTTAGGAGTCTCGGCGCTGTTCTGCGTATCAATTTAGAGACCCTGTGACCGGAGACCGACCATAAGAGTTGGTCAAATTCTTGCGAGTGAGAGAGAAACACAGGCTATCTCACGGTTCTACGATTTCTCCCTCACTCGCGGGAATTTGACCAACTCTTGTGGCCAGTCTCTGATTACAGGGTCTCCATACCGATTGTTTCCCTCCTCTCTCCTCGCCGACTTAACCGATTGCTTCGTGGAAGCTGACGAAAACGCGAGGGTGGGAAGTGCACCTCTGAATAGCTAATCAGCTCATTACGGTTCCCGCGAACTTTGCGTTCGCGATTCAATTCGCGACTGCGAGCTCCGGCTGAGCAATCGCTTATGAGAGACAACTTTCGCATACTTTGCCGCCGCTTGCGACACCGTTCCATTTGTCATGTGCGCGCCGAATTAAGTCCGGCGGGTGTTTCGTCAGTGGGCTGCGTCGTCGCCGTCGCCGTCGTCGTCGTCGTCGTCGTCGTCGTCATCGGCGCGAGGCAAGGCGCCGACATTTTATCACGGGGTCGACCTGGAAATTAATCGGCGCACGCCCGAGTGAGAGAAAGCACGCTGCAGCCATACCGTATCGCTCGAAAGTGCCAGGACGACGTGCCTTCTCGGCCCAAGGACGGATCGCGCGCTAATGCGCAATCGTCGAATATCCCCGATCGGGTCATCGCGAAGTCGAGCGAATCGATCTTATCGGCGCGGTGCCATTTCCAGGAGTGAACACTATCGCGCGGGATCTAACGACTACCTCGTATAAACCTGGGAATGTTCTTTCCGTTATTCTCCACGAACGATACCGGCGATTTAAAAAAAACCCCCCGAGATAGTTTTACGGCGACGATAAAAAATTAAAGGCAAGATGCTGATTATGTACGCATTATTAACAACATTAATTGAAGCGGTAGGAGATACGAATCTAGAATGCCTGAGAAAGTAAAAGGCTCATTAATTCTTCACGCATCATTATATAAAAATGTTGAGACTCGCGTTTGCGGCACTTTCGATTGACCCAACCGTCCGCGGCAAACCGTAGAATAATAGGACTTTTTTTTATTCTTCGCGTGCCTATCTTTTATATTATTGTATTCAGCAAGAGCCGCGCGGCGTTTCCTGTGGGTCGTCACTAGGTGTGGTTACCGCCGCCTGTCTTTTGTGCGCGCGCGGTTTGCTCTCGACTTGGTTCAAGGAGATCCAGAAGCGGCCGGCAACGACGGCGAAACACGCGCGCCGAGTTACGTTACGACGCTCTGAATCTGAATCTCTTTCTCTCTCACGGTAGGCAGCGCGCGCCGGCCGCGCGCTCCTGCCTCGCCCCGTATTCGGGTCAGCCGAGTAGTAGAAATTACGTAACACGTGTGCGCCGGGGCGGTTCCCACCGAGAGGCCGCCTTACCGGAAGTCGAGGCCACGTTTTGTCAGAGGACGCACGGTCAGCCTCGGTGCGAGAAAAAACGCACGAGCGTATCCTGCACGCAGGACGCGGTCGAGCGAGCAATGCCCAACTGGGAGATGTCGAACGACCGTTTAAACTTGGAAACCAATGACTCATAACGCGTGGTGCGATAAGAACAGGAATCTTTACATAAATCTCGTAGCGCATATCTCTGTTTTAATAAATTTGCCAAGTGTTACATTGTTCGTTCCCAGCTTTATTAAATGCGCGTATCTTTGTGATCTTTGCTCGTACGGAATTGAATATTGATGCAACGGCCATCGCGCGCTCAACAAAGTATCTGCGTAAAGATCAGATTCAGGGAATCAGATAAACCGACGAGCGATTCGTAAAGGAATTCGAAGCATTCGCGGACGCAAAATTCACGTTTCTAGGCGGAATTGATCCCAACAGACACAGGGCCGTGGAATCAGAGCAAGTCCAGATGTAATCTAGCAGGCTCGAACCTTTTACGACGTCGACCACGGTCGCACACCACCTCGTGCCGTGCTTTCGCGAAGCTCGAGCATTCGGTCGCGTTCGAGCGAGCGATAAGGAATTTTGCCGCGCGTATCTCTATTTTAATAAATATGCAAAGTATTACATTGTTCATTCCCAGCTTCGTTAAACGCACGCATCTCTGTGATCTTTGCTCGTATGGAATTGAATATTGATACAATGGCCATCGCGCGCTTTACAAAGTATCTGCGTAAAGATGAGATGTGATTCAGGAAATCGGACAACCGACAAGCGATTCGTAAAGGGACTTGGAGCATTCGCAGTCGCAAAATTCACGTTTCTAGGCGGAATTGATCGCAACAGACACAGAGCCGTGGAATCAGAGCAAGTCCAGATGTAATCTAGCAGGCTCGAACCTTTTACGACGTCGACCACGGCCGTACACCACTCGTGCCGTGCTCTCGTACTCGCGTTTAACAGCGAAGCCCGAGCATTCGGTCGCGTTCGAGCGAGCGATAAGGAATTTTGCCGCGCATACCGCTCGCGCGCACACGAGCGTTCACCGATCCGCGAAACTCGCTCTCTCCTCGCTCCATCTTCTGCTTCCTATTGACTATAAGCGTACCTCCGTAACGCGGATCCGGCTTCGTGCTTGGAAACCAGACTGGCCGGCTGAGCCCCGTATTCATTTCGCCCCGAGTGGCTCCGACAATTTCGATTACGTCTCTCGCGTGACGAGCGATAAAACCACGTACTTCCCGCCCTTCGCCGCGGGTAAAAGATCGCGAGCGTCCGACAAGTATTGTACATTTCTACTTAACGTCACTGATAGCGTGTTATTAGGCGTCTGTTGTTTCTCGACGCACTTGACTGCCGATGTTAGGTATCACTTCTCGAGTTCTCCCATTGCTTCGTAAATTTACCGCTCTGTTAAACGTCATATTTAATGTACGTATTACATCAATTAAATATGAAGGTATAACCAGCAGCCTTACCCGATCTCGCTCGGGGCCTCCTTTCTCTCGAATCACCATTTTTTGAATAGCATTCTTGTTCGATATCTTTTTTAATTTGTCTTTGTATACATCTCAATTCTATTTAATCAGAAGAATATTGTTGGCAGTAATTGACTAGCAACAGGAAGAAAAATTATTTGACGACTTTACACTGGCTAAAGGTTTAATTTCATGTATTCCAACGTTTCGACCATCCGGATTGTGGTCCTTTTCAAGGAAATATCTACAATTTGGAGAAACTTATTATTTATAAACCGTTCGTATAACAATTGGCAATACAGTCACCGAGACGAAATGAGTTTCGCGACTCTACACTTACATATATTAGTTAAAAATTACATTGTAAAAAAGATGTTTAGAAAAATTCTATTGAAATCAATTTTTCCAGCCTCTCTCGGGTAATATCCAAAAATACACAATATCGATCCCAAAAAGATAGTTTTCTGAAACGGGTAGAAAGTGGAAACTGTTCGCCCGGGTACAATATTAAAATATTGTTCTCTTAAACAAAGTGAGAAATTTTAGAAAACGGATATGCATGGTTACTTAGCATTATCTAGATATTAGCGGAAAGTAAAAATTCACGAATCAAGATTTCCACTGAAAAAACCGCGTATCCCGCTTCCCGTTTTCACTTGGCGAAACTTCTCGAAAAATTTCGATCCGACAAGAGCGCCGGCCACTTTCTTCCGCGCGCAACACGCGTAACGTCATATCAACACGTTAATGATCATATCCCCGCACCGATCGCACAGCGTGTGTTGTCTACCATAGTAAATTCTTGTTTATTGCCAGGTAATCCCGGCGTGTCTGCTCGCCCTAACGGAAGCGCGGCGAGTGCAGATCCGGCCTCGCGTGACGGAGCCTCAAGTGTACTACGAGGAGCACGACAATCAGGCCGCCGAGGACGAGTTCGACACCGTAGCGGTTTATCAGCCGCGCACCCGCGCACTTCCGTCGCCACGATCCAAGGATGCGCTACACGGGTCGAAGCCGCCGCCGGTGCAGACTATCAGGAATTACAACAAAGTTAACGACGACGGGTCCTTCACCTTCGGCTACGAGGCGGCCGACGGTTCTTTCAAGGAGGAGACCCGCGGCACCGACTGCGTCGTGCGCGGCAAATACGGTTACATCGATCCGGACGGCAATAAAAGAGAGTTCACCTACGTTTCGGGCAATCCATGCGATCCAAACGCGCCGAAGGACGAGGAAGAGGAAGAGCCGCCCGAAAAGGAGGAAGAGGACCTGCCCGGGCCGGCGAATTATCCCGTCGTCAGACCTATACCTCGACCTGTCTCGGTGAGACCCACGTATCATCCGACTACCACTCGTGCACCCACCACGATATTCCAGACCGAATACCAGCTCGACGACGACGCCAGCCAGGAGCTGACCGAGGACGATCTGAAACCGCAGCTGCGACCGTCGGCCTTCAGAAGACCCGCGACCTTAGTGTCAGTCACACCCTCGACCTCCATTTACGAATCTTCGCAGTCTCCCAGCCCCCAGTCTATCTTTAGGCTAGCTTCCACCCCCGCGGCCCAATATCAGACCACTGCGACGCCTGTCCTCCGTAGCCAGCCTACAGTCACCTCGAGCGTCTACCAGTCGCTCGAGACCACCACTCGCCGGCCGGTGACCCGTCATCCCAGGCCCCAATCGGTCGCGATTACCCCACGACCCCACGTCGCCCAAGTAGCCGCGCAATACGTCTCCCCTAGTAGCACCGAGCGCCCCAGCAGTCTGCTCTACGCCCAGACCCACCCCACGATATCGCCATTGCGCACCACGACCGCCGCTAGTACGCCCCACCTCGACTTCGCTGCCGAGCTCGAGCGTTACGTGAACACGGTCGGCTCGCACGTGCCCGCCGCCCCCGTTGCGAGGCCCCAGACCGCATCGCCCCAAACCAACTCGAGAGTTAAGCTGACCGGTCAGACGACGGTCACCGCCGCTTCCGCAGCCGCCGAACCCATCTACCAATCGGAGCTCGTGTACGATCCCGCGACCGGTCAGTACAATACCCAGCTTTATCAGACATTACCCCAAACCGTGGGTGACTTTAGCCTCAGTCACAAACTCCAACCGTTCGTAGCCCAGCCCCAGTCCCTACTCGGTCTACAGCAGCTGCAGCAGTACCAGCAAGCCCAGCGCCCGGTCTATAAACAGGCCCAGTCGGCGCCCACCCCGACCGTCACCCAGCCCCAGGAGGTGCTCTATAGGAAGCAGCAGGCGCAGCTGCTGCAGCAATCCCAGCAGCTCTACGCCCAGCAGCAGCGTCGCCAGCAACAGCAGCAGCAGCAGCACCAGCAGCAGCACCAGCAGCAACCTCACAGGCTCCAGCTGCTCGAGTCGCAGAGAGAACCCCAGGCCTTCTATTACGTCGCGCCCTTGAAGGCCTCCTCTGCCACCACGTCCCTTTCAGTAGGTCAGATCGATCAGTTTCTCCGAGGTAGCGGCGCTAATAACTACTGATGCAATCTGAGTCGCGATTCCTAAGAGATCTCCCTCGGGTCCTCGAATCGCCCCCTCGTCGATATTTATCATTTCGGTATTGCCTCGTGCGTCCCTCGCGAGCTAAACCGCCGAGGATCTCGCGCCGATTATCATCGCAATGTCGGCCCGTGCGTACACAGAGGGTATTACATATAAGTATGCATTATATATAAAGAATATATATCTCACGTGGTGGCGCCGAAGCTGGGATATATGAGATACATCGTCGAGTGAATGGCGCACGCGAACGCTTCGACGCACGCGTTGCACGCGGGGAACGCGCGTGCAAGTATACATATTTAATATGATTCGCGCGACGCGAGAAAGGCGCGCGCGCGCGCGCGCGCGAACGTGCATAGTTGCGATGAAAAAGTATCGCGATAATAAAGGCCACGGAGTTTTACCGTCGCCGTGCATTGGCAGGAAACGCGAACTTTCCGGGAAACGCATTCAAGGTTCATTATTACCAGCGGCTCTCGCGCGGTCTTTCCGCAATTTTCATTTTGCAGTAATGTGGGATTTTCCGAATTACCGTGTTCCCGATAGCGCTTTCACGCTTTGATAGCCGTACACGTAATTGTATACAGCGCTCGCCTTTCCGCCCGACGCGTGTCTCAAAGCGTTCTCGCGCTATCCGCTCGTCTCGGCTGACGCGCGAACGACGATATTATCCGTCGACGACGCAATCGGGGAACGAAGGTTAAAGAGATTAAAGTATGTGATAATGGATGGAGGGGCCGCATACGATTACGTGGACAATGTAACTCGTAACAACGACGGAGAGCCGAGTGGCGAAACGTGATACGTGACAAAATTCAAATCTTCCTAGATAATCGTATCCTTTTGACTTCTCTCCGCAATTTCCCCAGTTGAACAATCTCACGATAAATCTCTCATTCCCCTCCGGAAACGCGTAACGGGAAAAGAATATTATTCGAGCGAGCTTCAGCGTCGTTTCGGTAACTGACAACTTGTCGAAACAATGCATTCATTAAGAGCGGCGAAATTTTATTTATTCGCGCCGAGCCGAGTTGACACCGAATGGGGGTTCCTTCCGTTTCTCAGGCCGATTCCGAGAACACCTCTCTTTCCATTCTGGTATATCGCGCACGTTTATGAGGCATGTTAGAGAGTGAAAGCCAACGACCTGACGCAATACTCACGCATGTACGATGTATTACCGTGGCAATTTCTCGCGGGTCCCTAACACCGTGCCGTCGTAAAGGTATCCACGGAGGTTCCGCGATACAAACGGAACACTTGGTCGCGCGGCCGCGGACCTTTTATGCACGACCCCGTAAGCCCAAGCGACGTAATAATGCTCGACTCGATTACAAAACGTCGATCCAGTGCAACATCGAGTCGCATGAAAGGCGAGTGAAACGCGATCAGGCAGAAGGGGATAATTAGTCGAATCAAAACCGCCGGTGTTTCGAGATACCTTCGATTAGGCGTACAATGTTGCACATCCATACTATTGTGTCATACGGTGCATCGAATGCATCATGATAGTGTGCGGATTGATTGTCTCCTCGTTCTCGCCTCTCCTATTCTCTCTCTCTCTCTCTCGAGATCCTCAAAGGTCTAACCGTGTGCCTAAAGTGCTAAGAAATTATTGTGCATTTCGTATTTTTCAAATTAAAAAAAGAACTGGAGATTTTAAACGAACGGAGGTATTTCGCATTTTTGTTGGACCCGATTTGAAATTATCGTGTAAATCTCTGCTGTTAAATGACGTAACTTTTCGCGACGAAAGCTTCGCCATTCATTTGGTACTTGGTGCAACGTTTCTAATACTTTCGAACGTATCGTCGCATCGAGATTCCCAGGCTTGTCTACCTCGTTACGTCTTCGAATTCCGCGATGCAAACGGCACCGCTCGCGTTTCAACTTTTGACTGGACAGCAATTCCGATATTCGATACCCGCGGACGTCGGTAGGAAGTGCGCTCGGCCTTTTGCAACGTAGAATTTTGCAAGCTTGCCGCGAGTAGGGTTCACCGCGAGTCGACCGAGCCGGGGAAACTGCAATACATTCTTATCGGCGTAGCCGGGTTTGTAGGGACAACATTCTATTCGCGCCGCAGCCGTCGCGGACTTTCTATTTGCATTCTCTGTCACAAGTGTGAGAATCGATTCGAGTTTAATGCGTTCCGCGGCTCGGCCGTTCAGCCCGCGGAAATGTATGTATATCAAATCCGGGAAGGAAATCGACGGGTTCGCGCGCGCCGACGAAATCACTTTTACCCACGACACCACCGGCCACTGGTGAAAAGTACACGAGGTTTCTCGGACATGTATCCTATCATTACGGGGATTTAATGAATGCAATTTTCCCTCAACAAAATCTTAGCGAGAGATTGTCCTACAATGATTATTAAAATTGCAACGTCCCGAATACATTAACATTTAATTCTCGAGAGCTGGACGTTTAAGGCAGAACTTGCTTAAAATTAATAGGTAAGGTGACTTCGATGATTCAATTATCAAGAGCTGTAATTGACAGCGTCGTTACAATCCGCGTGTTCCCGTAAAATGCAATTCGACGCACGTGTCTCAAGAGATTTATGCACCACCGTGAAGAGATGCATCTTAATCGATGATTTCGTGGTTTCGTCGCAATCACGTCGCTGCTATAATGGGCTCAGAGCGGCGGTTGTCTACTCATACTGTAAATAATACTCGTTAGCGTTAAAATGCATAGCGACTACTTAGCAATTCATACGCATAATTAAAGATACGACAATTGCGGAATAAATCTTCGTAAGGAAGAGTCTTACGTTACAGTTGTTTTCTTTTTATATTATTTGTAAGCATAATCGAAAGAAAAGTATCATTGCGAAAATGTGCTCTGCGCTGTCATTTCATTTCCCCGAGCCCTCAGTGTCATTTCACTTTCGCTCCGCTCGGAATGTACGCGTCGCGAAAACGGAAATATCAGCATGCACGAACGGAGATTGAAACGGGCGTGTCGAATGTTTGTTTATGATAAAATCACAGCCGTGGCGAACATTCGTAACCCATGTAATACTTGTAATGTGACTTGATTTCCCCGTTCCCCCATAAATCCGCGTTCGCCGGAGGAAGAAAGCACGCGAGCGGCGTCTGCAATAATCGAATTCGTTACGTACGTCCTAATGCGGCGCGCTGATATAATTCGTATCTTATTACGAAACAAAGAAAGTGCGAAGACACACTTATTTATTATCTCGTCATTAAAGCCGCACTATTTTAATTTACCGACAATAAGATTGCGGAGTGCGGCTTGTTTATTAAGAAAGTGAGCAGATTCCTGCGGATAACAATTACGCCAACTCTCACTGGTTTGCTAGAAATTACGAACGCCATAAATTCCTGCATCTGGTGCGGGTGAAATATTATCTCGCAACGACTCGACGGCCGCAAGGTGTTGGCTGGACATGCGAACGCGCCATTTTTACGAGGTGAGAATAACGGGCCGACGCCCGGCGGCATGCCGTTTTTCGTTTCGTGCCGCGGCTGAATCACGCGCGGTAGACGCTTCCGCGAGAAGAAATTGGAAAAGTGGGAAAGGCGGCGCGTCGTCGTGCACGATGTATATAAACGTTGTTACGTCACGAACGACGGCTACGTGCTATCCACCTGCGGCGTTTTCTCCGCTCCGATTATGAACCACGTGCCGCTGTGAAATCGCAATCGGCGCGTTCGCCCGTAAAAATGGAGGTAAGATTACCCTGGGACGCGCAGCCACGTCCCACGAGCGAGATCCTGAAAAGATGCTCCACAAGAATTGCGGATCTTACTCTGGGGGAAAAAAAGGACAGTTAGCAACCCACTTTGGGGCCCACAGATAGTAGTCGAATTATTTGGATTGTTCGTAATCTCTAATCTTTTGCGAATTTTACCCCGCGAAAAATCGCAATTAGCCATTCTGTCTACATCCAAGATTTTTAAGTAATACTAATCAATTCTCTCAATTAGTTCTGTCGATATTCAGCAACGCAAAGATCATTTTCACTTAAGAGGCACTAACCAAAATGTTAAGTTGCGCAACTACAACAAAAAAAGCGGTCAAAATTTTTCCCAGAGTAGAATTACGAGCAATCCAAATAATTCGATTACCAATTGTGGGCCCCAAAATGGGTTGCCCACTTTGTTCTTTTTGTTCCCAGAGCAATTGCAATTTTCCAAGTCATGCTCCGAACTTTTATTGTCGCGCGCGCATCACGTTCTAGCTTGTCTTTTCTATTCGCGGCTCGAAAGAATTGTTCCTGAAAAGGTTAAATAAATCTCATATGTATTGGGTTGCATCTCTTATTCACTTTACGTATCTAATCAACATCGATATGCAATAATGACCATGTACGATGTTACAGCTCCGCTTGAAAGGTAATCTTAATGAAATGTCAATTCCGACGAAACATTTCGTACGCAGGATTCGCAACGCTTTCGTAATGTCGTTAATGATTGTGATGAATTTCGCAGCAAGCCCGCAATATATGTAATAAATAACCAAGTTAGTGATTCAATAAACAAGGCGATGCATTATGCGTCGTACCTATTCGATTTTGCGGTAAAAGTAGATTGTGAGCGCTTAGGTGAAAGTCATCGAAAATGAAAGGGTCGAGTGAAGTGTTAAATCAAACCACGCCAGACGGCTCGTACCTGTGCCGTGTGCACGTGTGCGAATGACCGTTGCTAAATATATTATCTAAGTTTTGAAACGTGCGCGCGCGTGGATACAATCGCGAAAGTAAATTGGATCGATGATTTATTTTCGATCGCCACGCCGAGAAGATGTATCGCGCTTTATTATTTTAGTCGTCTCATGCAACAGCTGAACTCCGCGTTGCGAAATCGATGAGTAGAGGTGCCCACTTTTATCAGTGCTAATGTCGATCGATTAAAAACAATTTCTACAATAATATCGGGGGGGGAACAGCCGTATTTTACCTTTCGTTATTTCACGTCGAAAACTTTCGATGAGACGTGCAACCTTGAACTTGGTTTCAGTGGACCGTAACACTATAGGTCACGGTTTACTTATGATTTTGTGGTTAGCACAAGCCACAGATCGTTAGCGAAAGTTCCACTGCTTTCTAAACACGCTCTCTATTTTACCGGTAAAAGATGAGCGAGACAATAACAGCTGTCAGTTTACGACCTCTGTGTACTTATCTGTGCAATCGCACATTATTTCAGACTTCTATAAAAATACGTGAGTGTCGTCGTAACTGTATAATTGTCGAAAGTGACACTTTATGGTGTGTTAAAGGCGATCAATTAACAAAAGCATAAAAAATCTGTACTGCGGTGAGACTCTTCGACGGGAAATGGATTGATATTATACAATTTATAATATATTATATACTTTAGCAACGTCAGTGTTTTCTTGACCATACCAGGCATTTTTAATAATGCAGAAAATTCATTGCGAAAAATATTACCTTACCAGGTTCAGGGTTTGAACCTGGACCTCTTATGGCATATGCTTCGGTGGTCGAATTGGTGAGACGCCCGCCTAGAGTGTAGGGAGGTCCAGGTTCAAACCCTGAACCTGGTAAGGTAATATTTTTCGCAATAAATTTTCTGCATTATTAAAAATGCCAGGTTTAGTCAAGAAAACACTGATGTTAATTATCGCTGGCGACATTAAAGAACTCTTATTAGTTGATTATATACTTTAGGATTAAATCATTGTATAGTTTTACACAAAATAATTATAAAGACAGTTGTAAAAGGGTTATCAAAAATTAGGGAAAAGCTCGAAAGATAAATGTACAATTTTATGTAAATTATTAATAAATAAGTACACATACCTTAAAAAATTCCCATTATCCGGCATTCGGGCGGTGAAAAATGGGCCTGAAACAGACGGATAGAAATGCCATTAGTAAGTGTCAGCGTGTTTTACACAAAATAATTATAAAGGCAGTTGTAAAAGGGTTATTAAAAATTAGGGAAAAGTTCAAAAGATAAATGTACAATTTTGTGTAAATTATTAATAAATAAGTTCGGAAGCCATGAAGACTAAATAAATAAGTACATATGCCTTAAAAACTTCCCATTATCCGGCATTCGCGCGGTGAAAAAAAATGGCCTTAAACGGACAGGTGGATGGAAATGCCATTAGTAAGTGACAACGTGGATGATTGGATCACACGGAATAGACCGCGCACAGGATGATGGTCATGCGCAACATCCTCCATCTTATACGACAGAAGAATGCGACAACCATTCCGTTTTTGCCACTCTCACGGCGGATGTAAATACGTAGATTGACATGACTTAACAGCGGCAGTTTATGTCACTTAGATGCGCTACGTGCGCCGATGTTAGCGAGCTAGCTCGCAGGAGAAACAAAGATGACAATTGCGGTCTATGTGCACACGGACGCGCGCGCATATGCGCAAAAGCCTCTGAAGTAATCTAATTACAATAATTTCGTTGTAGAACTTCGCTTTCGTTATATGCGACGTCAGTTCCCTACATTCGCGAATAGACGAACACAATGCGATTCCTAATGACGATAATATTAATATACCTCGTTATCTCTGAAGAATCTGTCGTAATTAAGTTATATGATATCCCATCGCTTAGCACGTAATCCAACGCCAATGTAACCATGCAATGTGTACGTGGTAAAAATGGCTTCTAATTAAACCACCTAAAGTTTTTCTAAAATATGTATTATATTTTCATGGCACACATTTTTATTGTAGGTACATTTATTAACTCGTTGCCATCAGAAATTTGATATAGGAGTTTTATTAGCTACTTTTTACTTCTTCTCTCTAAATTTAATTTTTATTGTCTACAATTATGTCGGTCTTACTCCATTTATTAATATTTTCGTTTATTTTATGACTCGATATTAATAAATATTTGTTCAAGAAGAGTCAACGTTGTTTGCTTTTACAGCGTAGTTCCTGATGCATCTCACTACGCCATGCAACGCCGCATGAAAGGTAGTATATCAGAGGCGTCGAACATTATGACACGAATGAGTCAGTACCAACACACAACTAGTTCATTACTGATGATAAAATATGTATTCAGGATGGGAAGCATTTTGCGATGACTTACTCCTTCGGAAATAAGAAACCTACAGATTATAAAAGGATTCTATCCGTACGCACAATAAAATGAGACGGTGAGATTAATTCTCAGATATTTCGACTGATCTCTCTTTCGCAAGGTCGTATCTCGAGTTTATGCGATTTCTGATTTTTGTGCTTAAGCGCTCATTCTGGACCAGGATGAACGTTTAAACACAAAAAACCGAAAATTGCGAAAGAGATCCGTCGATTTGTATTTTGTTATGCCATCCAGCCGATGTGTGTATCGCATGCTTTTCCTAGAAACGCAAATAGTAAAGTTAGAAAATTTCAACGTTCAAACATATTTGAAAAAATACGGTTTCTGAAAGAAATTTTTTACACTGTGATTGTTAAGAATCCTTCATTTTTTCTTAAATTTATCAAAAATTTAAATTTAACATTTCACAAATTCGCATTTTAGTATTTGTGTCACGTAGTAAATTATTAAGACGTTTCGCAATATCCACTCGCGGTGCCGTTTCAGCCCAGAATAACACATTTCCGTAGTAAAAAAAAAACAATACAGCCTCGGCGAATTTTCGGTCACTTACAATTGCTGAAAGCAGAGCACGGATCTATACCATAGTTTCCACGGGCATAATGTGAGATCTTTCATATGTAACGAAGTAGGTGTGTCAGTCAAAATATAATTGAGATAATGTGTAACCGGTAGTTGCGTTACGATTAACATCGTACCCACTTTCTTTGGAAGAAACTAATCACACAATTGTCTGGTTGTTGTAATGTATAAAAGCAGAGATTAAAGATCATAATCGATAAAAATTTCGTAAATATTTTATAACTAGAAGTTAAATAAAGAAGATGCTTTGTAGTTTAAACATGAAAAATGAAATAAACAACAGGTAGTAGCAGTTTCGTACTAAGTAATGTACTAGTTGGCTTCCCCTTAGCGAAAACTCGTCGGAAAGTCTAATTACCGTTATACAATGTCGAAAATT